AGTAAGTTTCTTTCCCTTGTACAAGGAGTATCTATTTGTTCTACCATCATGAATAGCTCCTTGGTCATATTGCCATGGTCTTCCCAAAAGCATGTGACATGCTTGCATCGGAGCAACATGACATAAGACCACATCTTCATATTTTCCAATGCTAAATTTTACCAAGGCTTGCTTGATCTCCTTGAGTTCACCACACTCATTCAAACATTGCAACTTGTATGGTCGAGCATGCTTCATAGTTTTTAGACCCAACTTCTCAACCATGACACTACTAGCAACATTGGTACAACTCCCACTATCCACAATTAATGAACCAATATGTTCCTCGACTCTACATCTAGCATGAAACAAGTTTTCTCTTTGGTCAAGCTCATCTTTTTTACGGTTGCACCCATAACTCTTCTCACAACACAATTTGACATGTTCGGTCTTTCTTCGATCCCATCAAACACTTCTTGATCCTCTTCAGTAGAAGATTTCTCGTGAGAATACTCATCATTTCCACTACTGGCCGAATGGACTCCACTCTCAATAATGATAACTGCCCTCCGGTTGGGACATTCCGCCATAACATGACCATAGCCGTGACACTTATAAAATTTTATATTACTAATAGAAGTAGAAGAGCAAGGCATAGCATTGTTACCACCTTCATTGGACTCTACATTCGGTTCGTTCTTGTCGTAATATGTTTTGGCGTCCTTTTTGTACTCCCTTGGTTTGTCATCCTTGGAAGACGGCTTCCAAGAGTCTTTTACTTTTTCCCATGAAGTGTTGTACCTCTTGTACTTTTAGGCCTTGTCTTCCTCCAAGTCTCTTTCAACTTGACTTACTGCTTGGAAGGCAACATTCAAAACCTCATACTTATGAAGCTTCATAGGTGAAGAGATTTCCCTATTAAGTCCCGCGATGAATCGGATCACTGTAGCATTTTTCTCACCCTCAAAGTTGTCCCTTATGCGAACAAGCTCAAATTCATTGTGATATTCCCCAACACTCTTGTTGCCTTGCTTCAAGGTGTAAACTCTCTTGAGAAGCTCTTATTTGTAATACTCGGGCACGAATCTTGTTTCCATAACACTAATCAACTCTGCCCATTCCTCAATCAATGGAATGCAAAGTCTTATCCTTCTCCTTTCGTCCGAATCCCGTCAAGTAGAAGCAAAGTCTTCAAATTGAGTGATAGCATATATTACTCTTTCGGTACTAGAAACTCGGTTCGTCCGAAAGATCCTATTACTTTGAACAACCCAAGTCAAGTATTCCTCTGGTCATTTCTTCCTTTGAAGGGAGGAAGCTTGACCTTGATTGTGTTTACCCCTCTATCTGGATCACCTTGGTTCTCCCCAAAGTATTCCCCATTGTTGCCTCAATTTCGCCAATTCTATTGAACCCTTGGTTGGCTATAGTTCGTGCGTGCCTGTTGGAACATCCTTTGGTTATCTCTTGTTTCACCCCCTTGGTTACCATGACCAAACCCTCCATACTCCGCCTCTTCTTTATCATAAAGGTATTCATGATCACCTTGAAGAGCACCATTTTGAGCTTGATAGTGTGGCTATTGGATAGGGGTGGTTTGGTGTTGATGTCCAATAGGAGGATGTGGTGGGGTAGGGGACGTGTTTGCAGTGTGACTTGCCCCCTCTTCAATTTGCATAGGATGTTTCTCCCCTATAATAGCAATCCTTTGTTCATTGAGCTTCACTGAAAGCTTAGTTTCTTTGAGTTCCTGGGTCAACTCTTCCATTCGTTTCATCATTTGCTCCATGAAGGACTCCATTTTGTTGGGAGACTCTTCACTAGTCCCCGTAATACCTACAAAATGAGCAAACAAGTAAGTGAAAATAAGGACCTTACGTTCACTCCCTTAGTGTTTCACTCTTGCTCAGTGTCACTCAATTCCCTCGTGTTTCACTTATGATCTTTGGCTTTTGATCTCACTCGAATGTTCTCAATCACTCTTGCCTTTTACCACTCTTGATTTCCCACAAGTTGATCTTCAACTCCAATCAAGAATATTTCCAATAAGAAGAACCTTCCACTTTGGGGTTAGAGTGGAGTTTATATTGACACGAAAGAAAGGCACAATAAAAGCAAACGGACAAGAGTCAAACAATTAACAATGTAATCAAAGAGAAAATCACGAAATAATTGGCACGAAATGAAGATACAGACACAATAATTAGATTAACAAAGTAGGGCTAATTACAAATGTTAACTAGATAAGAATGATCAAAAGAAACAACTAGGAATAAGAAGAGCACAAAAATTGAGCCAGAGAAAATCGTGTCCACAATTTATTTTTCGTGGCCACGGGTGGGCTGGGGTGGTGCAATTTCGTGCCCACGATTTAATCCATGTCCACAAAATTTCTGATTTACTGAGGTTCAAGTCTATCCAGCTCCACTAAATCTTTTCGGCTCCACATTTTTGGTCCACGAATTTGGACTTTCATCATCATCATCTTCTTCTTCTTCTTCTTCTCCTTCTCCTTCTCCTTCTCCTTCTCCTTCTCCTTCTCTTTCTCCTTCTCCTTCTCCTTCTCCTTCTCCTTCTCCTTCTTCTTCTTCTTCTTCTTCTTCTTCTTCTTCTTCATGTCCACAAAATTTCTGATTTACTGAGGTTCAAGTCTATCCAGCTCCACTAAATCTTTTCGGCTCCACGTTTTTGGTCCACGAATTTGGACTTTCATCATCATCATCATCATCATCTTCTTCTTCTTCTTCTTCTTCTTCTTCTCCTTCTCCTTCTCCTTCTCCTTCTCCTTCTCCTTCTCCTTCTCCTTCTCCTTCTCCTTCTTCTTCTTCTTCTTCTTCTTCTTCTTCTTCTTCTTCTTCTTCTTCACTTTAGGCTCGATTTTAAAATTCCAAATCATGTTCAAATACCTTCAAACTTCATATTTCACGTGGGAATCACCTTAAGATCAAATCTCAATGGTTTTTAACATCAATTTCGTAAATCAAATAAACTCAAATGGATCAAATTTTACTTTTTTTCATGAACCCACTTATAAAGATGATGAACTTGAAGAACAAGAAACTTCTCAATTCACTTGTAGCCACCCAAATCACTTCAAATCAACTTCAGTTGATATATTTCAACATAAAGAACAAACCCCAATCAATTTCAAATATCAATATGCATCAAGATCCAAGAAATGAAAGATTCAACTCAAGAACATGAAGAATATTTTTTTTTTTTTGAATTTTCATTTGTTTGGGGATTTTCAAATAAAATCAAATACTTAGCTAGTGTATGTAGAAATAAACACTAATCCAAACTCTGATACCAAATCATACGAATCTAAGTACGGAATTGAAAAAATTAAAAACAAGATAGAAATTGAGAATCGACCCAACGAAGAAGTAATTGTCAAATAATTGAAATAATTAATTACCCAACAAATTACAATACTTAATAGACCTAAACTATAGGATTACCCTCAAGAGGAATGAATTTCTCGTGTGAATACACCTTACAAGAGTTTGAATCAACAAGTTGAAAACACATGCTCCTCACAATTCTTCAATATTCAAAGATAAGCGAAACTAGAAATGACCCCATCATATGTTACTTATACTAGGTCCAAATAAGGTAAGAAAGGCATAAGTACCCCTAATGGGTCTAACTACTATGCTCACAAGGGAAATCTTATAACCCAAGTCTCCAATCATTGGCAAGCATGGTCTAGGTCCACATGCTTGCATCTAAGTCATCAAGGGGCACACATGTGCGCCTATCACCATCCACGTAGGCATGCCCTTCCACATGGTCACCATTCAAGTCTCCATACTCCTCCAAGATCTCCACCCTCAACACATTGTATACCTTCAAAGGTCTACCACCATTGTCTTCCAATGCTTCCAAGATATCCCAATGCTTGGTGAAGAGGTGAAAATCCCTTAGTTTCTTGGATTAAGATCTTGTGAATGACCTAGATGCCATTGGTGTTGCTTGAGGTGTATCAGATACAGACCACGCACTCCAATCAAGAAACATCAAATAAAGCTAATAGAGGTCTCAGAACACAAAAATAAGGGCTAGTACTCAAAATGACCTATCAGGTCGTTACATTAATAAACATATAATTAAGTAATTTGATTATAACTATATTTTTTATATCGTCTATGCTACAAATTAAACTTTTAAGAAAATTATGTAAACTAATTTACTTTGTCTAACACGTTTTTCTCAACTTTATTTTTTAAATTTTGAAAACCGCTTTTTCATTCTTAAAGGAAAAAAGGGGCCAACAATGTCCCTCAACTATTGGAATGGAGGAAAATATCTTCATTTTGTATTTGGTTCCGAGCATACTCGTATCACTAGCAGATGGGTTCAGATTTTTATGGAATAAATTTGCACTCCATTTGAATTTAATCCCAAATATGACTTAAGTGGGACTACCTTATATTTGCCCGACGGTGAACGGACAAGAATAAGAACAACCCATGCTACAACTAGCTCCAAGATGGCCATAAAAGCGTAACAAAAACAATAGATATATTGGTTGTTTTACCAACTATAGTTGATTAGATCTAATTGTGTTGGATGCATGCTACCCCACTGTTTACTGTATTTACCTTTTCTTCCTCTTTCGCATGTTAATTGTTTATGGCTATTTTGGTTACAACAGTTAAATTACATAACAATATAATAGGGTTGAAAAAGAGAAGTGACCAGCCTATGATAACTACTAGCTACCAAATCAAAAGGCACAAATAAAAAGCTAGAAAGAAAAGACACAAACATCATGCTCCAGAAAAAAGCAATAAGGACGACAGTATTAGTCAGAGTCATCTTTGTTGGAACACTCTATAAAAGTGTTATGGTGGATTTGTCATTTTTACAACCACCATTAAAGATTTTCATGCAACAAACAAAACTCATATATTATTTAAATACATGCATTATGAATTGTTGTGATACGGGGTTCCACGAAAATCAGTTTCTGCCACTTTATTATAAATAGTAAGTACAGAAAGGAGTGAAGGTGTTTTTTCTTAGTTACAAACTTAACAATTTCCATTGTCACCTTTTTTCAGCTGTTTGCTTGCAGAAACAGACCTTTGAGCATTGTTGCTGCGTTTAACTACTTGTTTTAGAAAAAGAAAAAGAATGACTTGTTCATCTGAAAAAGCATTAGCGAAGAAAGATAGAAACTCAGTAGCTATTATTTTCAGATATGCTGATGGAATAGACATTTTATTGATGTGTTTGGGCACTATTGGAGCCATTGGAGATGGCATATCAACAAACTGTTTGCTGGTATATGTTAGCCATCTTTTTAATAGCTTGGGTTATGGTAAGACTCAACAGAACAATGAGATTTTCATGGAAGAAATTGAAAAGGTTAGCATTTTATGTTTGATTAATTAATTAATCTCTAGCTGTCTTGCTTAATTTCTCTTTCTAAGATATTGCTTTCTGGCAATTGTATTTGCAGTGCAGCTTGTATTTTGTATTATTGGGATTGGCAGTCATGGTTGTGGCCTTTATGGGTATGTTTCTAGCTTGGCCCTTTTATGTTTTGCCAACAACACGGATATATATATATATATATTAATTAGTAGGTAGCCTTCACCTACATCTAAAAAGTCGTTGAGGATAACATTCATCAAACCCTAGAATTAATACATATTGTATTGAACATTATATTTACAGAATAAATTTTTGCAGAAGGTTACTGCTGGAGTAAAACAAGTGAGAGGCAAGTGCTAAAAATTCGGTACAAGTATTTGGAAGCTATTCTTAGGCAAGAAGTTGGTTTCTTTGATTCTCAAGAAGCTACCACATCGGAGATCACTAATAGCATTTCGAAAGACACTTGTCTCATACAAGAAGTTCTTAGTGAAAAGGTAAAATTTGTAATTGACTAACATTTCCTATCAAACAAACACTGACTTTGATATATGCATGCAGGTACCCCTATTTCTTATGCATACAACAGTTTTCATGTCAGGAATTGCATTTTCAGCCTACTTCTCGTGGAGGTTGGCTTTAGTTGCTTTACCAACACTTATTCTCCTCATAATCCCAGGTTTGATCTATGGGAAATATCTACTCCATTTGTCCGAAAAGTCGTTCAAGGAATATGGCAAAGCAAATGCTATTGTATGGCAGGCTCTTAGCTCCATTAAGACCATATATTCATTTACTGCTGAGAAGAGCGTGATTGAAAGGTATTCTTCGATTCTTGATCGAACAATAATTTTGGGAATGAAGCAAGGAATTTCAAAAGGTCTTGCTGTTGGAAGCACTGGGCTTTCCTTTGCTATATGGGCTTTACTAGCATGGTATGGGAGCCATTTGATTATGCACAAAGGAGAAAGTGGTGGCAGAATTTATGCAGCTGGAGTTTCTTTTGTCTTGGGTGGACTGTGAGTGCCTTTAATTCATCTCTAAAGACATAAGATATCTTGTTACTATTTAATTCAAGTTGTTAGTAGAAAAACCTAATTAATGTGTTATGCAGATCACTTGGGATGGCACTGCCTGAAGTGAAATACTTCACAGAAGCTTCAGTTGCTGCCTCAAGAATATTTGCTAGGATTGATCGCGTTCCAGAAATTGATGGCGAAGACACAAGGGGACTCGTGCTAGAAAAGATTAGAGGAGAAGTTGAATTCAAGAATGTAAACTTCACATATCCTTGTCGGCCAGATAGCGTTGTGCTCAAGGAATTCAATCTTAAAATTGAAGCAGGAAAAACAGTGGCCCTTGTTGGAGCAAGTGGTAGTGGAAAATCCACTGCCATTGCCTTGATTCAAAGGTTTTATGATCCTAACGTTGGAGGTATATGTATTGATGGTGTAGATATAAAGTCATTGCAGTTGAAATGGTTGAGAGGGCAGATGGGGTTAGTAAGTCAAGAACATGCATTGTTTGGAACATCTATTAAGAAGAATATTATGTTAGGGAAAATTGACGCAAGCATGGATGAAGTTGTGGCTGCAGCAATGACTGCGAATGCTCATAATTTCATCACGCAACTTCCAGAAGGATATGAGACCAAGGTCAGTTCATGTATTCATGTTTCATGTGTTGTAATGTGATCATTCTAACATGATTGATTTAATTGTTACAGATTGGTGAAAGAGGAGCATTTTTATCAGGTGGGCAAAAGCAGCGAATTGCAATTGCTAGAGCCATCATAAAGAATCCTGTGATTCTTCTCCTTGATGAAGCCACAAGTGCACTTGATTCTGAATCAGAAACTCTTGTTCAGAATGCCCTAGATCAAGCCTCAATTGGAAGAACTACACTGGTACGTAAACACACATTAATTAGTTGTTGAAAGTAGCTATAGGAAAAAGAAACATAATGAGCTCGCTTTCAACAAATTTGATGAGCAGGTTGTTGCCCACAAGTTATCAACAGTTAGAAATGCAGACCTCATTGCAGTAGTGAGTAGTGGTTGCATCACTGAATTAGGGTCACACAATGAGCTTATCGAGAAAGATGGACACTATGGAGGAATGGCAAAACTTCAAAGACAATTTAGCTTTGTTGATCAAGAACAAAGAGCCAACTCTCTTATTTCTTCAGTAGGAAGAAGCAGTGCAGGAAGACAAAGCTCAATTATTAGATCAAGTCCGACTGTATTCGCCTCACCTTTACTCATCGAAGACAGCTCCCAAGCTTCACCTCATCCTCCCCCTTCCTTCTCTCGACTCCTTTTACTAAACTTACCTGAATGGAAGCAAGGAATAATTGGAAGCTTATCTGCCATTGCATTTGGTTCAGTGCAGCCTGTATATGCACTAACCATAGGTGGCATGATTTCAGCATTTTACTCACCAACTCACGAGGAAATGCAATCTAGAATTCAGAAATACTGTTTGATATTCAGTATCCTTTGCCTTGTTTCATTTGTTCTCAATCTATGCCAACATTACAATTTTGCTTACATGGGAGAACGCCTGACAAGAAGAATAAGAATGCAAATGCTTGAGAAAATCTTGACGTTTGAAGCAGCGTGGTTTGACGAGGAACAGAATTCAAGTGGAGCCTTATGCTCTAGATTGAGCAATGAAGCAGCTATGGTTAAATCCCTTGTTGCTGATAGAGTGTCACTCTTGGTCCAAAGCACTTCAGCTGTCACTGTTGCCATGGTAATGGGGTTAGTTGTGGCTTGGAAGCTTGCACTAGTTATGATTGCTGTCCAACCTCTAACAATTCTATGCTTTTACACGCGAAAAGTGTTGCTATCCACCATCACAGCAAAATTCGTCAAGGCACAATATCAAAGCACTCAAACTGCTGTGGAGGCTGTTTATAATCATAGGATTGTGACCTCGTTTGGGAGCATAAATAAGGTCCTTGAAATCTTTGATGAGGCACAGGATGAGCCAAGGAAGGAGGCTAGGAAGAAATCGTGGTTAGCTGGTATTGGTATAGGATCAGCACAAGGCCTAACTTTCATTTGTTGGGCCCTCGATTTTTGGTATGGCGGAAAGCTAGTTAATGCTGGGGAAATATCAGCTGCTGATGTTTTCAAGACTTTCTTTATATTAGTCAGCACTGGTAAGGTAGTAGCTGAAGCTGGAAGCATGACCTCTGATCTGGCCAAGGGATCAGCAGCAGTTGCTTCTATATTTGCCATTCTTGATCGAAACTCACTCATCCAAGGATCGTATGATGTAAGATAATGGCTTTCTACATTCACTTTTCAACTGCATATATAATGAGCTAATTAATTACATATTTTACAATTTTATAAAAAGGCGAAGAATAACAGTAGCGGAACCAACTTGGAGAAGATGACCGGTGGGATAGAGATGAAAAAGGTTGATTTTGCATATCCAAGCCGGCCTAATAGCCTAGTGTTGCGCGAATTCAGCCTGGAAGTGAAAGCAGGAACTAGCATTGGACTTGTTGGAAAGAGTGGCTGCGGAAAATCAACAGTGATTGCCTTGATTCAAAGATTTTACGATGCAGACAGGGGATCACTGAAAATTGATGGTATGGACATTCGATTACTCGATATAGGATGGTATAGAAGGCAAATGGCGCTTGTGAGCCAAGAACCAGTGATATATTCAGGCACCATCCATGAAAACATTTTGTTTGGCAAACTTGATGCATCAGAAAATGAGGTGGTTGAAGCTGCCAGAGTTGCTAATGCTCATGAATTTATTTCGTAAGTATACTTTTTATGGTCGAGCAGTAACTAGGTAATTAATGAGTTTTTGTGCAATCACGCTACAAGAAATTAATTCAGATATCAACAGCTGAAATATTCTTTACACATGCAGGTCACTGGATAATGGATACGATACGGAATGTGGGGAGAGAGGTGTGCAGCTATCAGGAGGGCAAAAGCAAAGAATTGCAATTGCCAGGGCCATAATACGGAACCCAACCATACTACTTTTAGACGAAGCGACGAGTGCTCTGGATGTTCAGTCGGAGCAAGTTGTGCAGGAAGCATTAGATCGACTAATGGTTGGAAGAACGACAGTGGTTGTGGCACACAGGCTTAATACCATCAGGAATTTAGACTCCATTGTATTTGTTTATGAAGGGAAGGTGGTGGAGAAAGGAACCTATTCTCAGTTAAAGGATAAGCGAGGCGCATTTTTCAATCTTGTCAAACTTCAATCCACATAATGTGAAAGAGTGAATGTATTTACGTATGTAAATTCTAAATTTTGGGCATGTTGATAACTTGTGCAGTCTCAAATGGATAAAATAATTGCTTTGCGTCTTGCCATTACCCAATCAACCCCCATCCCAAACAACCCCTCCCCCCCTCCCCCCCCCCCTAACCCAATCAGACATCTTAATAACAAGATATTTGTTTACCCTCAAAATCGGAGAACAATTGAATTTGTAAGTGGTTTTAAGAATACCCGAATTAAATTGACACAAAGCGATAAATTAAAATTGCAGTTGAAATAAACAATGATAAAGTAAATTCAAACCGCACAACTTGAACAGCTACAATCTTGGAAAGTCAGTCACATTTGAACTGGATGCAATTCAATCGGTATCAAGATTGCAAAACAAAAATTATTGCAAAAAAAAAAAAAAAACGGACCAAAGTTGGTCGGTATTTTAATTATGTAATCAAAAGATTCACCATCTGGGAATCGAACCGGGGAGTGAACTGTGGCAGGATACTATTCTACCACTAGACCATTGGTGCATTTTGTTTTAAGAGTGTCTTTTTATTTATTTATTTATTTATACTCTTTAATTGTATTTTCGCATGAAAATAACTGACCAAAGTTTGTCGGTTTTATTAAAAATTAAAATTACCGACCAAAGTTGGTCGGTTTTTAAAATGACCGGCCGAATTTACCGATCAAAGTTGGTCGATTTTTTTAATATTAATTTTTATTTATTTTAATTGCAAAAACCAACCAAAGTTGATCGGTTTCTTAAAAAATAAATTTTGCGGGACTCAAAAATAGTTTCTCGCATTTTTGCACCAACGAAAACCGACCAAAGTTGGTCGGTTTCGTAAAAAAAATTAAAAATTAAAATATTTTGAAAAACCGGCCAACTTTTGTCGGTTTTTGGCCGGTTTTATGACCGACCAAAGTTGGTCGATTTTTGGCCGGTTTTTTACCGACCAAAGTTGGTCGGTTTTTGCCGAATTTCTAGTAGTGACTTTAGGTACAATTCTATAAAAGGTAAAACATCTCTTGATTTACTGATTACTAGTCCCTTATTAATACGTGTCAAGATTTTCGCCGTAATATCCGACCGGTCATCGATATTTCGGTTTCTGTTGGTTACGCTAACAATGTTTATTTGAGCTCGTTCGGGGCCAGGGTGGATTCTGGGTTCACGGACTCAATGTTCTCGAAGACAGACACTCTGACTTTGGGCTCTTGTCTGATGGGACTTGTGGTCGATCTTCAGCCCCTCATGTTTCGAGCCCGATATACCATGTCATAGACGAGCCCGATTTCAGTCGTATACAGATAGTCCCCTCATTTTTTGGAGAGTAGACGATGAGAAATGACATGAGCTTCCGATTCTCACTTCGATACCCCGCGACAGAAACGACAAAATGAACGAAACGTTACGTCAGTCAAATCTTAATGGCATTAAATGCTTGTCAGTTGCTGGTCGACCACTTCTTGATGCGTACCGTTGTTTGAAAAAACTGTAAGTATCCCCTTCTTTATTCATTCAAACTTTACATCCAAACCTTCTACCCTTGTTCCTTAGAAGTATCTACATTTTCTGGCAATTGTATCTTGGTTTTTTTTGAGATCTTTGTAAGAACTTTTGCTCGTCTTCATCCCAAATCATCAAGTGTACTCATTTAACTTCCTCCTTTTCCTCTTTTACCACAACCCCCCCCCCCCCCAATTTTAAAGGAAATGGCGAAGACTTCAAAAATCGTTTCCCAAAAAGAAACTCCTTCCACATTGCAACCGGCTGTCGAGGAGACCGTTCCACGTATTGCTGTCAAAGAACCAGTAGCAGGACCCCCCTTGAACACGTTCATCCCTGGGGGATGCTCAGTAACCGCTGATTTCAAGGTTGAAAAACCTCCTTCCATACCCGTTCGGTGTGAGAAGGTCTCGAGATACGTATGCTCGATCATTGAAGAAGTCCTCCACATGGTAAAAAAGGATTGCAACTGGGTTGACAAGCACATGGTGGTTCCCTGACTTGATGAAGATATCACCACCCACATTGAGGGATACTTAAGTGTTTACATTTATCCCTTTACGCTAGGCCCATTGAATCCGGTCATCATTGACTTCAGCAAAAGATACGAGGTATGCCTCGGTCAAATTCACCCTTCATTTTGGAGGATCGTGATTCGTTTTTTATTTTTGATGAGCAAGATCGATGGATGCTCGTTCACCGTCGACCAGCTCATGCGCCTATACAATCCCCGACTCTTTTTCGGGGGGGGGGGGGGGAGGGGGGGGGAAGAGGACTGATCAAGCTTGCGCGTCGGGCTAGTAAATCCCCATTATCGAGTATTGATGAAGATCATGATCGAGGTTGGCTAGGCTATTTTGTCCGGTTAGGACCTCGGACTTGATCCCAGCCGAGTGCATGTTGTTCCCCGAGAAATGGAATACAAAACATAAGTAAAATTTTGTTTTCAAAATTTTATTTTACTCTTCTTTTTCCTTCCTTCTTATCGGTGCTTGGAGGTGGTGCAACTGTTGCTCGAGTCCCGATTGCAGTCCCTCAACTCAAGGAGTGGTTCGAGGGCATCATGTTATAAAGGCCGTATTTTGAGCGTGCATGACGCAAAATTTCGAAGGGCCGGTGGGAAGCCCGTTCTTATGGTGAGATTCCTTTCCCGAGTGAGTAGTACTTGGGTTTCTTTTATGTCGCTAAGTTCTTAAGTGTGAGAAAAGAGATAAGTAATCTAATTCTCATTCGAGGACGAATGATCCTAAGCGGGGGAGAATGTAAGGCCCCAAAAAATTTTGCTAAGTAATTTAAGGTTTTGTGGTGCCAAGGTAGGCTAATATATTGTATTTTCGGAGTTTTTGGGTTGGGAGTTGAAATTTTACAATCTCGCGAGGCCATGTATGTAGCACGCTAGACCATGCTATATCCCTCGCGAGACCTGGTCTATACCTCGCTCCAGAGCGTGCCTAGCCTGGTCTGTAGCTCGCTACAGAGCATGCCTAGCCTGGTCTGTAGCCCAGTTCGGAATTTGGAGGATCCTTTCTTCTATTTTTATAACCCGACCCAATCTCGTTATATAAGCGTTTTTGATCATTTTTCTTGTAAAATCTGATACTTTTAGAGTGAGAAAGAGTTCTTAGAGTGGGGGAGTAACCTTCAACCTAGTATTCAACAATTCTTGCTCTATCCTTAAAGATTATCAAGAAAGTTCACGAAGTCTTCACCTTAAAGGTAAGAACCTATGCCCTAGCTCTTAATTTTGAAACCTTCCTAAAAATTGGTAATTAGCAAGACCATCCTTGGGTAAGGGAGTTACTTATCTTGCATGCATGTGTGATAAATGAGTGTAGGAGGATGGTGAGCTAAAAATTCTAAAGAATGGGATGTGGGATGATGGAATCTTTCACAAAAAGGTTCTTAAAAACATAATACAACACCTAGTGTTTGATAATGTGCTCAAATGAGCTAGAATCATGATCATCTTTCTAATTTCTGGTTTACCTTGTTATATTCCTCAAATAGATTGAAGTTGCTAAGAGTTCCGGAATATTGCAGAATTTAAGGCAGCTCTATTGAGGTATGTATGGATAAAACCCCCTTTTCTTAGAATTGAACCCCCTTAGTGTTCATGAAATCGGTGTAAGTCCCAAATTGATCATTACAAAAATTGCTATCTCAAATGTGGCTGTATTGAAAAATATATGTGTAATGTGTATTCCAATGCTTTCATCATGTTATCTTACCATTTGAGGATGTGTTAAAAATATGGAATATGTGCTAAAAATGCCTAGACTTCAAGTCAACTTTGAATAAAGATTGTTATGGCAATTTGTGTGAAAAGCCTCTATGTGCCTTAGATTCTAAATTGCTCACGTGTGTAACCAAAATCTTATTAAAGTCCTTGTTGATGTTGCTATGATAAAAATGTGAAATGTGGAAAAGAACTTGAATTATGAAATGCGGCCAAGTGCCGAGTATGATATAACAATTGTGGCCACTAGTGCCGATGAACTGAAAAACGTTAAAGAAGTATGAAATGAGATGATTGATAGAAAATGGTAATGTCTCAAGCGAGACGTCCTAGCCGATCGGGCCATGATCGAACACCATGCCACACACATGGTGGTAATTATGCTGGAAATTGAAATTGGAATTTGAGAATGAAATTGTGGTTATGGTTGATGTCTCAAATAAAATGACCTAGTTGATCAGGTCGTGATCGGACTCCGCGTAAGAATGCGGTGGTATTGTGGATGATGGTATAACAGTATTAAAGGTGTCCCAATTTAAAGCTATAGAAATTAGCTGAAAGTTTATGTGATTCTTAATTTGATGTTGTGGTATTGTTTAAGCCTTTTATTAATTTTATGATTACTTCCTTTTTATATTATTGTTCATTATAATAAGATGGTGTTTAGTTATACATATTAGTACCATCAAGGGTACTAATGTCCCTTCTACCGGGGGCGCTGCGTCTTAAATGGATGCAGGTGGTTCCATAGCGGGTAGTGTTGATCAACGTTAGCAGTAGATCCTCCTCCTAGCAATCTTGGTGAGCCCCATTCCATTTCGGGGTTATGCATCTTTTGTCCCTTATGTATTGTACTTGAGATATAGCCGGGGCCTTGTTGCCGGAACTTTTGTAGTACTCTTTTGTATCTATTTAGAGGCTCTAGACACTATGTGGGTTGTATATGGGTGTTGGAAAGGTCAACAATTTATGTTGTGTCTTAGACTCTTGTTTCTCTCAATCATAAGGATGTGTGTATTTTGAAACTTAACAATGTCGTAACTAATGAAACAATTTAGTATTGTTTACATGTTCTTCCTATTGTTTAAATTAATGAAAACACGCCTCCTCTTGACCAAAAGTGAATTGGGTAGAAAGTGTCTAATAGGCTTGCTCGACCGGGTTCACTCGGTTGAGCACCGGTCATGCTCCCCGAGGTTGGGACGTGACAATAAGATCTCTCAGAATATCATAAGATCAATATTCCTTCGGTTAATATCACAAAATAAACTTCATATATAGTAATATTATGACTTTAAACTCATCTAAATCATGACTAACAAGTCTCATATTCATTATACGTCACCTTGGGACACACAGGGTGTAACAATCTCCCCCTTAGAGACATTTATCCTCGAATGTTAAACTCACAGAGATCTATAGAAATGTTGGCAGTCTCATCTATAATAATACTACTACCTGCCTTTCATGCAACAAACTCAACAATACAAAGCCACAAGGGGCCACAATCATCAATAACAACAATGGCCTCACACGACAAATGACAGTACCTAACATAAGAATCCAGTATCGTATATGCACCTAAAGGTTGTGATGTCTCAGTCTGCTCCTCCTCTGGAAGTGTAAACAAGTGAGGATACTTAGACTTCATGTCTTCTTCAGCTTCCCAAGTCATCTCGTCCACATTCTTATTTCTCCAAAGTACTTTAACCGCAGCTACGTCCTTAGTTCTCAATCTCCGAACTTGTCTATCTAGTATAGCAATGGGAGCTTCCTCATATGATAGTTGCTCTGATACCACTTGTGTCACAACCTAAGTTGATGGTTATGCTATCTATTGTGATGCTTCGGACATTGGATTGGGTTGTGTATTGATGCAACATAGTAAAGTTGTAGCTTATGCTTCTACACAACTAAGAAAGCGCGAGAAAAATTACCCAACCCACGACTTAGAGTTAGCAGCGATGATTCATGCACCAAAGATTTGGAGGCACTATTTTTATGGCATTAATGTTGATATCTATACGAATCATAAGAGCCTTCATTATGACTTCAAGGAAAAGGAATTGAATTTACGTCAGAGGCAATGGTTGGAGATACTAAGTGACTATGATGTTGATATTTTATACCATCCAGGGAAGGCGAATGTAGTAGCCGACGCCTTCAGCTATAGTTCTATGGTAGCCTATCATATTTACAGCCAGAGAAGAGTGAGATAGTCGTGAATTTCATCAGCTAGCTAATCTTGGAGTTTGATTACTAGATTCAGGTAATACTAGAGTTAATATTCAGGACACGACAATATCCTCTTTAGTAACTGAAGTGAAGGAACGCCAATATGAGGATCATGTGCTAGCTCATTACAGAGATATAGCCCCTCAAAACGAGAAGACACCATTTGAGATTACAGAAGATGGAGTCCTCAAATATCGAAGTCGATTAGGTGCTCCTGATGTGGTAGGGTTGCGCCAGTAGATTATCGGAGGAACTCACTATTCTTATTATTCTGTTCATCCAGGAACGACGAAGATGTATCATGATATTGCGGAAAATACTGGTGGGATGAAATGAAGAAGGATATAATAGAGTTTGTTGCTCAGTGCCCTAATTGTCAGTAGGTTAAGATTAAGCATCAGAAACACGATGGATTATTACAGGATATAGAGATTCCGGCTTGGAAATGGAAAGTAATTAATATGGATTTCATCATAGGCTTACCTGAGTCCTACCTGTCGAACACACCTAAGCATACTTCTAAGATATAAGCATGAAGTAGGGGTAGATCATGCATAACATCAGCATGTCTACCTGCACATGCGGGCATGAAACGCAGGCCCCCATGCAATAGGGGTGTCAATGCGAATAACATACCGAGTATGTAAGGCATAAAAATTAGTATATAAAAGACATGAAAGAAACGTGGAGTAAAAGACTCATGGTGTAATTCTGAATAGCTCTGTGAATCACGAAACATTTAAAATGTCATGCACATGTGTATAAATGGCATATCATGCATAGGTATATACGTACATAATATCATCAAGCCTCTGAGGGCATCCCATCATATCATCTCGGTCTCAGTGGGCGAAATCATCAAAATATACCAACTAATCAAGTGGTGGTGCGTATATAACGCCGTAACCTTCTCCCATACCCCATATATATATAATATACGCGTATATAATGCCATCTTGTCATGGTTCAATGTACGTGTATAAATGAGTGCAGTGCATAAGGAAGTAAGTTGATAAGATCTCTCGGAATATCATAAGATCAGTACGTCTACGGTCAATATCATGAAACTGTAAGGCCCCGTTAAACAAAAGATTTCCTAATGATTTAATATTTTTAAGTGCGCCAACGGTACTTGGGAATAACGTTTTCGAGTATTAAAAATGACCTATGGGATAGAACCACATCATTTAAAATGAAAATATATGTTTAAGGTATGTTGGAACATATTAATGAGGTTTGTGAGTGGGAAGAATTTGTGTGGAACAAGTGGATACATTAAGTGGAAAGGATGTTTCAATTTGCACAACACCTTACTTTAAGAGGAAATTACTCTCATAGAACAAAAAGATATTTTCCATGAATTTTGTCTCTAAAGAATAGCCCTTCGAGTCTAGCTTAAAACGCATCAAACCATTTGTCATTTGGATATTTCTACAAGAAATTATGATCAAATTACTAAAATAAGGTAGACGGAACGAAGAAAGTTTTGCTAAGTGTTTACAACCTTAAATCGTGCCTCGAGATCTCCACTTTTCGCATGTGTACCCTAGATGTCTATGGATAAGGCTAACATTGTGTAATCATAGTTTCATACTTATATGAAGATTTGGAAGTGAATTGGGGTATACATCATAGCAAGGTATCGAAGGAGAGTAAGTTGGAAAACATGAAATATAGAAAGGATACAACTGGGGAGCTCGTCTAAACTCGTGCGCCGCGTGGGTTTGAACAAGCCATGACCCCCAGCAATTTCAAAAAAAGCAAAGTATTGCCGCAACACACAAACTTGAACGAGAGCTCGTCCATGTCTGTGTGACGCACGAGGATGCACAAGCTAAGCCTGAAGCCTTTATATAGAGCATTTCGGTAGCTCACTTCCCCCACTCCTCTTGGTCGATTCTTGAAGCTCCTCTCAACTCTCTCAAGGCCCCCAACACCTCCCATATTCAAGGCGAGTAATCCCTACTAGTTTGGTGTTTCATTCCATCCACTCCACCTTACAACTAACCAAATCCACCATGGAATCACTAGATTTTCAAGGAATCTTCCTAAGATCTCAAGTGAGGACTTTGCAAGATTCACCACCAAAGCTAATTACATCTCCTTGAACTTGCATGCATGACTTGATAATGAATATATGAGTAGCAATTTAGAGCTAGAACTTATTTCATGGTGATTCGAAGCCATACTTTCGCCGATTGGAATTTTTAGAATTTGTAGAGAATGAAAGTGATTTGTTTGATGAATTGGTTGGTTGGGGATGGATGGTAAGACATGGATACGTTGTTGGAGGTCATAAAATATTAAAGGCCGGTTGTAATATGAATTAGTGGGGCAAAGAGTGGGTATTGGATAAGGATATATCATAAATGAAGGTTGTAGAGAAATGTGCACATCAATGTCTGATAAAATGCCTAAGTTAGCTGAATGTTATGAACCCTTCCAAATGATGGTCCAATTTGACCATGTTTCTATAGAGTGACGTTGCCAAGGATAATGGAACATTGTAGCAACTCTAACGAAAGCTCTTTCGAGGTATGTTGGCTAAACTCTTCTCTTAGAATTGAACCCCATAATGTCCTTGTAAGTCCTGAATTATTCATTATAATTGATTATTTCGAATAAGCTTGTGACATGAGATATATACTTAATATGTGTTTCAAATGTTCTTGTCAAGTTGTGCTACTATTTGAGAATATGTTCAAAGCATGGATCACATATCTAAATGTTATAATCTCACATCGTGTTTTGAGTGATAGCTATTATGCTAAATTGTGTATGAAATCCCTATATGCTTAAAGCTCTTACTTTCTCACATTTGGACTTAAAGTCTTGAATAGAAATTCTTATTGTTGATAATCCGTGTTGATGTTTGAAAGTGAAAAGAGGTGAACATGAAATATGAGACGCGTCCAATGTGCCAAGAATGATAATATAATTGGGGCCACTAGTACTAATGAAATTGAGAGACGTGTAAAAGATATTGAAATGTGTTGAATGTCCTTTAAATAAACAAATACTTCGGGAGTATCGTTAGTCACCGAGGAAGGGTAGGTTGAAATAACCTAACCTCGAAACTACACGTGCCGGTGTAGGAGTGAATTGTGACTATTCCCCTTATTTGGGATGAGATTGATATGATGAAAATATTCCTCTTTGTTGGTATGAGATGATTTATTAGAAAAGGGTGATGTCGACCTACACGGCATTTTGGTGAGACGGCCTAGTCGGTCGGGTCGTGATCGAACGTTGATTGTGCTTGGAAATATGATTGAGATAATGATTGAGATTGAGATAGTGATTGTGATTAAGGTTGATGTCTTGGGAAAGACGGCCAAGCCGATCGGGCCGTGATCAGACTTCGTGCAAAATAAACAGTGGTATATGTATATCGATGCTAAGATCTCCCAACCTAAAATATGGAAATTACTTGAAAACTTTTCTTGTTCCTAACTTGATGTTGTGAGTATTGTTTGAGACTCCCATTGATTTTTATGATTGTTCATTCTTGTGTTATCATTCATTTTATTGAGAGGGTATTTAGTCATTCATACTAGTACTATTCCACATGTACTAATGTCCATTTTGTCGAGGGCGCTGCATCTTTAATAGATGCAGGTGGTTCCACAGCAGGCAGCTTTGATCGTTGATAGCGGTACACCCTCTTCCCAGCTGACTTGGTGAGCCCAAATTCACTTTGGGGTCGTATATCTTTTTTCCTTATGTATTATGTTTTGAGGTATAGCCAGGGCCTTGTTGCCGGCAGTATCATCGTACTCTTTTATACCTATTAGAGGCTCCGTAGACATAGTGTGGGTGGCATGTTGGTGTTGGGAAAGTCAAACTAGTAAAGTTGTAATTGTCTTACACGTTCCACATCAAACTTTGAAAGTGTATGTATTTTGAAACTTATAAATGATGTAACTACTGATAATGAATTGGTGTTGTTGTTCACATGATTCTCCTCACTATCTAATTAATGAGATAGATCTTTTCTTTATTCATGAGTGAGTTTGGGTAGAAGGTATTGTAAAGGCTTGCTTGGCCGGGATATCTCGGTTGAGCGATGATCGAGCTTCCCGAGGTCGGGGCATGACAAACTTGGTGTTACAGCCTAAGGTTTAATGTGTCCTAGGATGTCTCGGAGTCGTGTCTAGTAGAGTCCTTCTTATTGATGTGTTGTCGACCACATCTATAACGAGGAGGCTACTTGGACATTTAGGAATAATACCCTTCTTTGATGTTTTATATCGTGCGATTGAGCTGATTGTGAGACTGTTCCTCCTCTAACTCGTGCATTGACCTAACTTTCAGTACATGGCTCCTAGGAAGAAAGCAAGAACTGGCTAAGGAGCCAATGTCGCCCCGGATGTGGCAGTTGATTCTTTATTTGATTGATGCGGTTGAGTACCCGAGGAGCGAGAATATTCCCCCGGCTACTACGCTCCCTGATTCCTCTACACCTGACCAGATTGCACCAGCTCCTGCACCTACTGAGGATGCAACCATTCCTCCAACTGATATTCCCGTTCCACCTCCAGCCCTAGCTTCCGGTTCCGGTATTTCTGATGGAGATATTAGGGGAGTCGTACAGATGTTGCTCAGATAGTGGAGTCCCAGGCCCAGAGATCAAATGTTGCACTTACTTCTCCTAGCCAGTAAAGGGATTCTACTGGTTCTAGGGTGTAAAGGTTTCTTCAGTTAGATCCTCAAGTGTTTACAGGTGCTAACCCCAAGAAGGACCTCCAAGATTTCATTGATGAGATGCACAAGACTCTTCGAGTATGTGTGCTACTAAAACAGAGGGAGTGGAGTTTTCCTCTTACCGCTTGAAGGGAGTGGCCTATTCTTTGTTTGAGTTGTGGGAGGAGTCCCGTGAGTAGGGGAGCCCTCCGGCGAGGTGGAGTGACTTTGCCAATGCTTTCATGGATTATTTCTTACCTGCCGAGACTAAGGCAGCCTGTGCTACCGAGTTTGAGAACCTAAAGTAAGGAAGCAAGAGTGTGTGGGAGCACCATATGGAGTTTGCGCGCCTGTCCAAGTATGTTATTACATGTTGCCCACTATGGAGGCTAGAGTGCATCAGTTTGTATAGGGCCTTAGTTCCTTGGTTATTAATGAGGCTGCTACAGCTGCTTTGAATTCTGATATGAACTATGGAAAGATGGTGGCATTTTCTCAAGCTAGAGAGAATCGTAAACTGAAAAATAGAATGGAGCGTGAGGGTACTAGTAAGGCCC